AGCAATAACATGCCGGCAGCCAACATCATCAAGCTCACTGGGAATGCATACGATACCAAGTTTCTGATAAAACAGTAACAAACAATTAAGACTTTTTGTTACACTTCAGCTGGGATAAGTGTAATTTTAACCAGTATTAACTAAGTTTCACATCATTTGCCAAGATGTCGAAGAAAATCATGAGCTTCAAATATTTATTTTTGTTTTTTTCTGTTTTTTTTTTAAAAAAAGAGCATCATACCGGAAGATGAGTGTATACATAAGTGCAAGAAAAGATGCTGTTACAAGAGGATCCTTCCAGCGCCTAAGTCTTTCGAAATTTCTGGCAGTGAGAGTCAATGGAAGTACAAGTTCCTAAAAAGGTAGCAACAACATATTAAAATTTTTTTTTTATGTTTTATTTAACCGATAATCATTGCGGAAATATAGAATAAGATAGAGCAGGAGATACATAACATGAACCTTGAAAAGGTCAACGTTGCTCGGGATCCCTTCAATCATGGCAGCATCAATCGTGGCCTGCGTCTTCTCAGCAACTCTGTACCTATCCCGACACGTCACAGCAGCCCTCTCCACCAAATTCATGTCCCCCACCACAAGATTCTTCCCGAGCACAACTCCCTTTCTCACAGATACACTACTCCTCCAGAACGCGAGGGAGGCACTCGATCCCCACGACCCGGACCTCATCCATTTCCTCAGATACACACTCCCGTCCACATCATACACATGATTAATATACTCAAGAGACTCAGCCTCCTTCTCCCCAGATCCAGAGAGGCTCCTGATGGCGGGCCCGCCCCAGCAGCTGACCGCAAGGGTCTGGAGCACAACGTCCCCATAGGGAGCGCTGTGGAGGTACGAGAGCTGGACGAGCTTTGTGGGGTCGTCGAGTGAGGCTGTGCGGCGCATGAACTGGAGAGCCTGGAGCCGGGCTATGGAGTTGGCGGCGTGGGCCGCAGCCCGGGCCCGGCATTTGTGGGCCCCGTACACATCGTGCACGGATGGATCGCCGTCCCTCGGCCCGTACTCGGAGATGAATCTGTGCAGGGAGATGACCTCGTGGATAAACGCGAACCAGACATCACGCCTCATCTCGCCTCCCAGGTCGACAAATTCGAGTACTAATGCATCCGAACTGCTACTTAAAAAAATCACGAATCAAGTATTTGATGTAATTAGTCAGAAATGTATTAGCTGT